ATATAAAATAATTTTTAAGATGTTACTTGCTTATTTAATGGCAGTGTTGCTGACGGGAGGTCTGTTTTCTGCAGCTGTCAGTTTCGTGTTCTGGAGTTGGCAGCTACCTCTGTAGGCTCTGCAGTTACCTACTAGTTGTTGTTGTCAGTTGCCAGCTAGTTAGCCTAGACTCGTGATGACCCCATGCACAACAGGATAGAATGCTGCCTGTTCATGCGCTATCCCCATGATCAATTACAGAAAGGACCTATTGGATCATTGCGATTCATAGGGGTTTCATTGGCTGAAGTAGATCACAAGGCCTTTCTTCCTAGTTGATCTTAGTTTGCTGAAACCTGTTCATCGTCATAGCAACATGCAAGCTTGCACTGACAGATAAGTGGTGGCTGTGCATGAGTTACATTGGTTGGGAATCGAACCAGGGTCTCTGGCATGGAAGGCAAAAATTCTACCATTAAACTAGCGATATCCAGTTACCTACTAGGGCCATGGCTTACTATTATGGCTCCCCCTGTACTTTCCTTTTTAGAAATCCTCACATTTTCTGCTTCACAAAAAGTCCTTCTTTTGTTTTTCATAGATGCCAATGAACATATTAACTAAAATGTATATATATACCTTTTAATCATTTATAATGATTTAGTGGTAAAAGAGAGATTTCAGCAGGTGCTCAAATTGAAACAAGATATTTTTGTGTGTGTTTTTCTTTGTGGTGAATATCAGCTGTGGCGTTGGCTTAAATCTTATTAGCCTTAAAAGTGAACTTATTTACAATAAAATATTATATGTGATAAATAAAAATATATACTCAGACATATGTAAATATGTGTTTCCATGTGCTTAGAAAGAAAAAAGGGTCTGAATGGGTCCCTATGAAACTATATCCCTGAGGAGTAGAATTGGATGTCAAGAGGAATATTTTTATTTTTACTGTATACATTTCTCTATTTGAATTTCTGCTTATTAATTTCCTTTGTGATTCAAAAGAATAGAGTAAAATGATCTGTTAGATATTTTCGTTTTTCTCCCTTCCAGATACCCTCTTCCCTCAGATTTCTAGCTCTCTCTGGTGTCCTATACGTACTGCTCATCCTTATGAGCAGCATCAAACGATCCTAGCCCTGTTTTCCAGTTGGGCTTCCGCAATGGGAGGCACTGACAGGAGAGTAGACAATGGGAGGAGAGTGAGGTTGGGTTTTTATTCTCTGGCCTCCCTTCTCTCCTTTCCCAGCCCATTGCGACCACCTTGGGTTGGCTCTGTTCTCCAACTAAAGACCATGCTTCCAGGAGCCCCTTTGCACACAGCTTCCCTCACTTCCTCACCTGCTCTTTCAGGCCTAGGGGTGCTTGTGGCTCCCAAGGATACTAACCTGAGAACCACATTCCATTGCTGCCTTCTCTACACCCTTTCTACACTTTTGTAATTACTAGTCCTTTTAGTAAACTCTTCCTTAAACTACCCAGCTTTGAGTGCCACCTGTTTTTTTCCCTAGACCCCGACCAATACAAAAAACTCCAAAGCCATAAAGTATACAGGTAGCATAATTAAATGCTGTTGATAGCTACCATCGAGTAGGCCCCAGTTTCATGGCAATCCCATGTACAGCAGAACGAAACGCTGCCTGGTCCTCTACCATCTCCGTTATGGATCAGATGGTTGTGGTCCATAGGGTTTTCACTGGCTGATTTTCAGAAGTAGATGGTCTTTCTTCTAAATCTATACTAGTCTGGAAACTTCACTAATACCTGTTAAGCATCGTAGCAACACGCAAGTCTCCACTGACAGATGGGTAGTGGCTGCTCAAGAGGTGCATTGGCTGGGAATCAAAACTGGGTCTCCTGCATGGAAAGTGAGACTTGTACTGAACCATCAATGAATGCCTCCCACATAATTCTATAAATTGCTGTTTTTGCCACTTCAAAACAAATAAAATATTTAAGAAAGAATTTGGGAAAGAAAACTTACTTTGGTTAAAGGAAATACGTCACAGAGGAAAAATAAGAGTAAATAGTTCATCAGACTACAAACTTAAAGCTGACATGTTGCTCTCCTTATCATGCTCATGCTTTTGCTGGATTTCTGGACCTGGAGGGAAAAATGGCATGCATGCGGAATCCTGGAATCCTGCTGCAGGGATTCATAGACTCCCAGAGCCAGAAGGGCCTGCGGGGATTAGCCAGTGCAGCAATGAACAGCACACAGCACCACACCATTTGTGAGGCAAATATTAAAAACATCCCCACAGTGCTGCTTCTTCAGTGTGCATTTTAGTGGCTAAAATACAGTGCCAATTTTGTCACTGGCATTCAGGAGACTAGCTAACAATGACAACAGCTAACGTTCAGGAAACGCTCACAGAGTGCTGGAGACTGTGCCGAAAGCTTTAATTTTGTACTTTCACACAATCTTCACCTAAGCTCCAGGTAGCGGACACTATCATTATTCTAATTTTAATGATGAGAAAAACAAGGAGCAGAGAAGCTAAGCGACTTGTCTAACATCATGTAGCTATTAAATGATGGAGCCTGGATTCAAATCTGAACTCTTTGACTCTAAAACCCATGGTCGTAGCCACTACATTGCTCTTTCTTGTTGTATAATCTATGTATAAATGTATATGTATATATAATACAGAAATACTTGTGTCTAACATAGCATGTATGTTGTTTCATATCATTAAATATACCATAAAGTCATTTTATATCACTGCATAATATTCTGTTGTATCAACAGACCATTGTTCGTTTAATCAGCCTTACTGCTAGATATTAATTTGCTTTATTTTCCTCTCAATCATTTCTTTCCAATCCTCTGACCTCAATATTTCCTTAAGCTACTTTTTCTCATCTGTAAAATATGATAATAATACTATCGATAATGATGATAGTACCTCTCACGGAGTGATTAAATACCTATAAGGAATGCTAGCTATTATTATTACAATTATTATTCCATATAGTTATTATTATTTAGTAGAATGTTCTTACTGTTGTGGAGTGGGGCTCTGGATGACCCTGATTTTCTCCATTTTGCTTACCATTATATAATTTTTAATACTTACATGTATAGTACAATAAGAAAAAAAAAGTTTGTTGGATTTTTTTTTTTTTTTTAACAAATTACTCAAAGATATACGGGTTAAAATACACTTTAGCTTTCCTGTCCTACAAACAGTTTCAACATAGATCAACAAGAGTCACCAGTTCAGGTTAAATTCATAGGGAGGGTTTTAGTTCACTGAACAGTGTTTGTCCTGAGTCGTTTTACTACTTGTTAATATTTCCCACTCTCTATGCAACCAGAAAACTATCCCAAAGACACTCACCTATCAATCGCTCCCCTTAAGTATATACATAAGAGCTGCCTCCCTCTCTCTTATTTATTTATTTATACTAAGGCACACATGATGTTTTCAGTTGCCTCATATGCATGGAAAAGCTGGACGATGAATAAGGAAGACCAAAGAAGAATTGATGCCTTTGAATTGTGTTGGTGAAGAATATTGACTATACAATGGATTGCAAAAAGAATGAACAAATCTGTCTTGGAAGAAGTACAACAAGAATGCTCCTTAGAAGCAAGGATGGTGAGACTACGTCTCACATACTTTGGACATGTTATCAGGAGGGATCAGTTCCTGGAGAAGGACAGCATGCTTGGTAGACTAGAGGGCCGGCAAAAAAGAGGAAGACCCTCAACGAAATGGATTGACACAGTGGCTGCAACAATAAGCTCAAGCATAACGATTGTGAGGATGGTGCAGGACCAGGCAGTGTTGCATTCTGTTGTACATGGGGTCGCTATGAGTCAGAATCAACTTGACAGCACCTAACAACATACTTATTTATACCTTTTTATCATTTATGATGATTTGGTGCCGAAAGGGGAAGACTTCAGCATGTGCTCAAACTGAAACCAGATATTTCTTTTTTTTGCTTGTTTTTCTTGGTTGTAAAAATCAGCTGTGGCCTTAGTTTGAACCTTAATAGCTTTAAAAATGGATTCATTTAAAATAAAATAGCCTATGTGATAATATCTATTATTCTATGATAATAATAATAATAATATTTCTGATACACGTTTCCGCTGGAGAGTGTTATAGGTGCCAGTGATTCACAGCACTCCTTAGAAATGCAGAAAAGGAGTTCTTGTCTTCGTTATGGGGGTGATGCCATATTACGAGCCCCTCGTATTTCTGTATCATCTTTTGATGATCATTGTGAGAGTTTGGTTTGGTATCTTAGTTCTAGTGAGACTCAGGCACTAATGTGTCTTTTGCTGGGTTCCAAGTAAGGCTGAAATGGTAGTTTGCTGATGTTTTACTCCACAGGGAACTCACCAGGGAAATGCATCTTTATAATAGATGATTACGCTATTTGCAAAAGGGAATCATAGGCGTGTATGTGTATAAACAGAGCTTAGCCTTTACTCCTTGGATTTGAAATGCAGTTGTTTTCTCCAAGAATATCATGTATGCCATACGACTTACTAAACAACTCTGTGTGTGTGTGTGTGTGTGTGTGTGTGTGTGTGTGTGTGAGAGAGAGAGAGACAGAGAGAGAGACAGAGAGACAGACAGAGAGGCAAAGAGAGAAAAAGAAGGAAGAAAGGAGACTGAGATTATATTTTAGTTATTTTCCTAAAGGAATAGGCATTCAGTAGCTTTGTGTTTCGTTGTTTAGTATTCAAAGCAGCTTTAAATATATTTCATCTACTAAAAGAAAGGTTGTTGATTTCACGTAAATTTTAATGAAAGAATATGACATCATTCTCAAGGTATTTTTTCTTTTATTTAAAACATTAATTATCACAACACACCATACAATGAAATGAAGACCTTAGAATCACATTATAGCTTTTTAAAACATCTCTATATAGTCATAAAACATGAAACATGCTTCAGGGATACAAATATATTTGATACCAAAATCTCAGTCCATGTTCACCATGTAACCAAATAGGGGAAGCACAAGACTATAGAGCAATTTCGTTCCCTTTCAGCAGTTAGCTGAAGTGACTGCTTCAAAGAAACAAGAACGATTTCTTTCTTGAGAGACTATATCATTGACAGGTTTTGCAATTTTAATGAATACTGTGCTTTGTTGAGAAGTTACCACTTATTTCTAGCTCAGAAGGGGTCATCATATTAGAATTATAACAATTTGTATAACACATCTTGGCACAGTATGAAAAATAAACACTTTTTGAGTTTTCTACTCAAACAACACTTACTATTAAATAAATAATTATTCCTCATAGTGCATGTCTTATTTTGCCTTTCATTAGCCATTGACACAAATGGAGCTCAATAAATAACGCGTTAGGAGTTTATTTACTTCTTCTTTCATAATTCTGCATTGCATTCCTTTCATAAGCCACTGAAAACAGAGAGAAGGTAAAGTGTTTTTTAAGAGGATGCACTGAAGGAGTTAAACAAATAAAGATAAGGCATGCAGTAATTTATTTTAAACTCATAATGACTTTTTCTCTCTATTGAAGTTTTTCTAAGAGTTTTATTTCCACATCTTCCAATCCAGCCTCAGTGTCTATCGTGACTGGAAGTGATCTAATCACAGAATCTTGGTTACTTTGATTCTCTATCATAACCTTCATGCCCTAAAAGCTTATTTCCACAATAAAGTGCAACGTTGATTCTTAGCAGCTCTCTCAAGCAATGGCGGACACCCATGGTGAATTATAGAACGCAAAATGCCAGTGCAAGCAGGATAGTAGTAGGATGAAAACAAAATGTGTGATTTTTATTCTAGGAAAGGGTCAACAAACTACATGTCATGGGCCAAACCTAGCCCACCACCTGTTTGTGTAAATAAGGTTTATTGGAACATGGCCATCTCCATTCTTTACATATTGTCTATACGGCTGCGTTGGTGTTACAATAGTAGATATGAGTAGTTGCTATACAGACAGCATGGTCCAGAAAGCCTAAAATATTTACTATCTGGCCCATTACAAAAAACTTTTGCCGGTCTCTGTCTTCTTCCTCTCTTTTGGTTACCTCTCAGTGATGGATTGTCCTGGAGACTAAGAAGAGCCCCCATTGTCTATAAACCCAAAACCAAACCCAATGCCATCGAGTCGATTCTGACTCATAGCTAACCTATAGGACAAGATACAACTGCCCTATAGGGTTTCCTAGACTAATCTTTATGGGAGCAGATCACTAGGTCTTTTATCCTGGAGAGCTGCTGGTGGGTTCCAACTGCTAACCTTTCGGTTATCAGCAGAGCTCTTATCCATTGTGCCATCAGGGTTTCTTATTGCCCACCTTAAAAAAAACCCCATTGCTGTTCAGTTGATTCTGACTCATAGAGACCCTCTGGCACAGAGTAGAACTGCCCCATAGGGTCTCCAAGGCTATAAATCATTACTGAAACAGACTGCCACATCTTTCTCCTGCGGAGCAGCTGGTGGGTTCAAACCACCAATCTTTTGGTTAGAAGCCAAACACTTTAACTACTGTGCTACCAGGGCTGCTTCACCCCACCCCCCATTCTCTATAGGTAGGTCGGCTGTGCCATCTAAATACAACACAGTTGAACTTGCCTCCTAGAACCCTTATAGCCTGAAAGGTTCATCACTGCTTCTGAAGGTACTTAACATATATCTATCAGGTAATTCAAGTACTTTGGCTACCTGGACAAAAAAAAAAAAAATCTAAATTATATTATAAACAATTTCTAAAGGGTCTGTACCCACAGACGAGTAAGGAATCAGAGGTTGTGATCAAAATACCTAAGGGGGTTTTTCATCATCTTAGCTAATACTTTATACATTTAGATTTATGTTACAGTGAAACTACTGTGTTTTTGAAAATTCAGTATGCCATGTATTCAAACACTGAGTTTAAGTAGAAACAGAAGGATCTATGAAAAATATGCAGAAATCATGGGGTGGTCGTCTTAGCAATTTCCTTACTGAGGAGGATTTGTTGACAAAGAGAAGACAGGTGAGGTCTCCAGTGCTACCACTTCCCGCTTTTAACACTAAGCAGATATCTCTAACATCCAACTTCCCCTTGGGTGACGCGAACAGTAAGCTACATGTTTCACGTCAGTCATCTATGCGCTTCTGAGGTGGAAAGTCTGAGCCCCAAACTGGACAGTTCTGAAGAAAGGAAATAGTTCTTTTCTCATCCTGATGGTTTGTTTATATCAGGAGAAAGATGACAAGCTCAAGTTCATGATTCTGTTCCTCAGAGAAGTGAAGTGAATGTTAATGTTAACTCACTCAAGACAGATTAGTGATCGAGTTGGAATATAAAATCTTTTTAACTGGAAAAAGAGGTTCTTACTTGATCCTTGAACGCACTGAAACCACAGGTATACTTTTGTGTCTACTAGCTGATGAGAGTTTCTCTGGGAAGGGGGTTTCTCGGTTTCATCAGATTGTTAAAGGGGTGTGTGACCACGAAAGGGGAAGGATCAGATAGCTGTACAGTCAGACTTTATGATAACCGTGGCTCAGCTGAGTTTGTGAAAAGATCCCTGCTTGACTATGGATTATGCTTTTTTCCCATTTTTTTCTTTTCTATTTCCTTAACTAAAATGAAAGAACAAAGATTTAGTCATACATTGATTCTGATTCATTACTATGCTTCTATTTATTACTAGCTATAATTATATTATTACTTTAAATACATTTAATAGCATTTAATCTGTCCTAAATTGCATGGTATCTATATTATTTCTAGTTACGCAAATTCTAAAACCTGCATCAATTCTGAAAATGGTTGATGATTAATATGATTATCAAGAAAACCACAGTCATATAAGGGTTAATGTCTGCTTCTGATACAAATAAAATCCAGTGTGGTTTAAATTAATATTCCATTTCCAAAAGGTATAAGACAGTATGCATTAGCAAAACAATTCCAAGTTTTTCATTAAGCACACTGGTAACTTCTTTAAAATTTAAATTTGAGAAACCTCAACATTAAGAAATACAAAGCGCAGTATCTAAATTTGGAAAGTGGAGAAGCAATATAAATAATAGGATGCATCATTGTTGCATGAATTTTCCAGACAATTAAGAATTAATCCAGCACATTTTAGTTATAGATTTTCTGGGAACCAGAAATATTTTAAAAGGGGAAGACAGCTACTGATTACTTTCTAATTAATTAGATGATTAGTATTTTAATTCTGTATTCACTGATGGTAAAATAAAGAAAATTTTAAGAGCCTTCCTAAGGAACCTGAGCTAAGGGCCATAAGGCTCAAACGCACTTAACAAAAAGTCAGTATAAAATGTTGTATCTTTGAATAAAAGAATACATGTAATGATCTGAGGATAAAATGGAAGATATTTAAAATTCAGAAAGTTACCTGAGAACTGACTGATGCAGTGCCAACAATTTACACTTTGTCAGGGGATGATAATCCAATGACCAACCATACATCGTTGGTTTAATTTTAAAAGGAAGATGTATTAGAAAAATAACTGAAAGAGGAATAATCCATTTGGGCTTTCTTTTGGTAAGCAATCTTTACTGGGAAAAATGAATGTTTTCAATGGTAGTTTTTTTTTTTTTTTTTAAATTTCAGAGGTCTTTCCCTGGTCATTTCTATTATGTATACTGAGACAATTTCTTTATAAGAAAACCAAGAGGTTATGCAAATAATTCAGGCTCCCAAAATGTTTCCTAAATTATCAAGCTTGTCTGGGAGATCTACAAGCATTCAACATCAGGGTTGCCTCAGCTCTTCAAAGTATTTTTAAATATTCCGTTGGGTTCTTCAACCCATCATTTTGTAAACTATGCTGCTTCCTATCCTAACGTTATTTCCTCCTCCTTTCTCTAGACCAAGGAAGAACATGTGGGGAAGTATTATTTTAAAATTACAAGCAATTTTACAATGCAGAATGTGGCAAAGGTTTTGAAGAGAAGAATTCAAGTACTATCTATGAAAAAGATATAGGGGTTACCTAATCTTGAAAACATTATGATGACTGAGTTAAGAAATAAGGTTTTAAGATATATGTATGTGTACCTACATAGAAACGGAAACTAAAGAGAAGAAAGGAAATATGCAGACTTTATATTATTCATAATTGAAATGGGTTGTGAGGAGGATTATGACATCCCTTCTCTCTAAGGGTTTTATAATCAGAAACAATTTATAACACTCTTGTATGGTTTGATTATGTTCCCGTCTGAAGGCACCGGAATGGAATATATTACTCTCAAACATCCATTAGGGTATTTAGATTTTGAGCTTCCATAACTCTACAAAGAGTAAAAGATTTGTGTAAATGGATATTTATTTAGTTGTTATTTAGCTATTATTTATTGGTTAGAAGACTGCCAGAGGTAGCATCTTATAAAACTTTCAAAATATTTTGGTAACAAGTAAAGGTTAGTCTCATTTTTTTATACTCTCTCTCTCTTTAAATTCAGTAAGGTTAAATGTGACTTACTTAACACATCTAAGGCAAAGAGTATTAGACTAGTTCAAAGATTCAGGTTAGGTAATAATGAGGGGCCGACTGGGTCAGACTGGTAGTTTGAGAAAGACAGACTGACATTGTGGTGATATTATGGCTTAATCAGCTATAAAGTCTATTCTTGGTTAAAAGGATTGCAGATTTTTCTACCATAAATGCTCATTTAAAATCTATTATTCCTTTTTAATACTTGAAAACTCTGCCTTAGAAAGAAAGTAATAGAAGTAGATTTAAGGTACTATCTATTTTCAGTCATGATTTATACATACCAGAATTTAAAGCTCTTTTGCCCATTAGTCCAACAAAGGAATCTGTTTTATACCCTGGAAAATACATTTAGGGGTATTTTAATATGTATGTCTTTGAGGAAAGAAACTGTTATAACTAGTACAAAAAAAAGCAAACTTCTGAATATATGCCTATATAATAAATATATATCTATTTTAAGCTTTGGTCAGCCTGGAGAATGAAGCTTCCTCATAAGTCTTATAAATGACACTAAAACAAAACAATGAAAGCACTTTCCTCAATTCTACATCTAAATATTAGCAAGTACTCTTTATTCACATTATATATTTACCTAATATGAAATTTTAAATATTTTTGCTATTTGAGCTGGCTTTGATTTTTAGAGTCTATTTCACATTTGTGTGACACAGCAATATCCAAGCTTATTTCCTCACCTTACTAAATATGTTGTATTTCTAAGCAATTGAATCTTGATTAAGTCAAAACACCTAACCAGATGATTATAAACTTCTAAAAGGTCATATTTCTATTTTATTGAATTATTTTAATGCTTCTTTTAGAAAGTGTTAGTTTTAACGTTACTAGAGCACATTTATTTTCATTGTATAGAATTTAGTATATATGATTTCCTTGGAAGCCAAATCCTTAGAAAGTAAAAATGAATGTGTCTCACTTATTTTCAAAGATGAGGCCTTTGGAACAGGTTATTATTTTAATTCTATTGGGTAAATTTCTCTATAGTGGTTTACACTGTATCAGCTGAGAATAGGGCTGCTATCTTAATTACTGTGGCCTACTCTGCCACCCAGTGAGCCAAAGTCCAAGACAGGGTGAGTGGACAATATGATTATGATGGATCCTTGGGACTTCCTGCCAACTCTGGTTCCATTAACTGGGTAACTAACTGGTATCTAACGACCTTCAAGTACCACAATTCTGTAATCTTCACTGCCATAAGAAATGTTTCATTGTGTATTAATAGATAAGATTTCCCATACAATTATGGGATTGAAAATCTGCATGTCTATCCATCTTTACCTTTACTATGGTTTCTCTACTGAAATATTCACCCACTCTACTTAATTGCTTAATTGGCTGCTGGATTACTGTAATAAATGATATCATTATGGGACCCAGTACACTAAAATAAGCTAGAAGATGCCTGTAAACACTTTTTTTTTTTTTTTTGCAATGGGGTGTGTAGGTGTGTGGTGAATTTTTACCCTTAGGACTGAAATTCTTATCTAAAACTAACAATGCATAGGCATTAAGGACCTTTTTTTAGCATCTTAAAGCAACAACATTAATTCTCTCATAGTTTCTGTGGGTCAATAATTCAACAGCAGCTTAGTTGGGACTCAATTTTTTTTTTAATGGAAAGTATCATTTTGGGAAGTAAGTTATGTCTAAACAACAGGACTTTAATCATATTCTGAATGTAATATAAGTCTCTTCCATTCTTATATTGTCTCAATTAAAAATAGTGCTAAGTTATGACAGAAAATAAAGTAAGATGTTATATAAAGTGGAATTCAATCTAAGCTATATTTGCTTTCGATTAATGTCAAAATTGTGAACTTACTTTTATGAGAAATCTGGCCATGTCCTAGAAGAAAGAAAAATAAAATTAGCAATCACGTATAGATTTTTTTTAAGAAGCTGCATTGTATCTCTTAAACAGAATTATAAGATAAATTGATTTTTAAGATATGTGACATTTTTCTTTCAAGCACTATCCGGAGAAATATAGCAGAACTATAAATGCTAATCAAATTATTAATTAAAAAAACAAATATTTTAATAAGCCAAAAGAATATTTATTACATGCTTTCTGGGAGCCACAGCTCCAAACCCAGGGCTGTGAAGCTCCCAGGCCTGCCTGTTAGATCACATCACCTCCCTGTTTTCTTACAGAAATGCATCTCCAAGTCCAGCGACCCACGTGACCCTCAGAGAAATACGCAAATACATCTCTTTATTAAACAGGCATAATTAAGATCTTCTATTTCAGCCCATAAGGTATTGTCTTCACTTTCCTAGATGTGCATTCACAACACAGCAAAATAAAGATGTATAGGAATGTTTACCATAAAGCGCCTTTAACAGGGCCACTTGTTTTTCAATTGAGGAATCTGACAAGAGATGAATGGACATTAACTATTTACATGTTCCGCTGACGGTGCGATGAATTCAAGAAAACAATATTTCTATCACGATACACTGGATAACCAAGTCTGCTAACCTAATGCTCTAAAATCAGCTGAAAATTCCACATGCATTTAGAGTGCTATCCCCTTGAGGTCGCGTGCCTTCCCCTTCTTTGTCAGTTTGGGATCTTTAGTCAAGAAAGGGCTTAGCTGAGATTGGGTCTCCTTCTTGGTGGTTTTGCTCTAATACTGTCAGAAATCAGCCTCTCCCTCCCTCCGCGGGCATGTGCTTGTGTTAGAGGCGCGGGCCAGACAGCGCCCGGGAGTTTTGTTCCTCCTTAGGGTGGAAATGTCTACTTAAAGAGCAAGAGAGACTGGGAGCACAGGGAGCGAGCGAGCAGGCAGGGCGGATTGCCCAGAGAGACAGAAAGACGGTAGCCCATCTCACCAGTATCTCGTTTGCCCATTAATCCGAAGAACTGCTGAGGCTTGGGTCTCCGGGCGATTCTCTGCAGAAGGTGCTCAAAGGGCTCGGGCAGCTCCTCCTAGGGGACACACGCACATGTAAACCGGTGTGTAGGCAACCAGAGCTAGGCGACCGGCAACCCGAGCCATTCTCGTGGTGCGCTCCAGCCCTGGGCGAGCCACGCTGCCCGCCGTGGGGACTGGCCCCGCAGGAAACTCCGCTCCACAGAGAGGTGAAAGGAGGGCGGGCTTCCCCACGCTGGGGTTTGGAAGGGTCTATGCGGCACTCCCTCTCTTCGCCCCTCCTTGCGATCTCGCGTCCAGCGCCACCTCCCCAAAGCCCTGCCCTGCCACCGTGCGAGTTAGCAGGAGGCGACGTGTCTCTGAGCCCCGCTGGCTTTCTGAGCTGTCCTTCCAGCCGGGGACACTCACTCAACTGCCGCGCGGCCATCTGGCTTTGCCTCGTTTCTAGCGCCACCTTTGGAGACCCCAGCCCCCCAGCCCTAAATTCACACAGGTGTGTGTATGATTGGAATGGGGATGACAATGCTTTACAATCGACCTGCACCAAGCGACTTTCACTGTTCTCAGGAGGCACGTTCCCTCTCGCCAATCACCTGAGAGCTGGAGAACATTCATGGGGAAACTTGTGGCTACGTCCTCAGGTCCGTAAAATAAACGTCAAAGTAGGAGTTAGCTTACCACCCACCTCTGCCGCCCCAGTGCCGGCGCGGCCGCGCCCTCCTTTGCCCCTGCCTAGAGTCTCCAAACCCGCACTTCCACTGCAATCCCCGAAAACCTCGTTACTCTGGGGTGAACCCAGCTCTGGCCCTATGAGGACCCCGGGTCTCACTAGGGAGGGCATCTTTCCTCCCGGGAGTTCCTGTGACCCGATGGTGTAGTCCTCGAGAGCAGGGGAAACTTGGATACTACAGTGCAAAACCCTGTGCGGGACCCCAGGGACGGCACCCCTTTACACGCCTCCATGCGCCTCCACCGCCTCTGGTCGCGTTGCTATTGTTGGTCTTCCCAGTACTAACTACAAGAGAAGGGTGACGGTTCCCGAGCCCAGGACGAAGGGCTTGTGCCGTCCGGGGACAGGGTCTCACCTTGATCTGGTCGCTGTCGGACCAATCGTACCAATAATTCAGATCATCGTTGGCTCCGATTTCTTCTGCAAACAGTTGCGTGGAGACAAGAAAAAAGACTGCCAAGGCCACGAGGATTTTCATGTCGGATTTCTGGGAAGAGAAGGTAGAAGAGACAGGAGAGAGAGAGAGATAGGCGAGAGACAGGGAGGAAGGGAGGGAGGGAGAGAAAGAGAGAATATGAATATGAATGAATTAGAAGAGGCTATCGAAGAGTTGGGGCAGCAGAGTCTTCTGCCCCACAGTGGAACTCAGGTTCGGTTGAAGAAAGAAGAAAAGCCATAAGGACTAATATCTCGCCTGTATCCTTTAAGAAAGACAATCACCCCGAAGAGCGTTCAAATCCTCTCATCTCAAGAACCTAACTCGCCTCCACCCCCAACTCACACTGTCAAGCCAGGAGCCTCTGCAGGTGGAAGACAAAGGGGATGACTGGCATTTGGGAAACCCCGTGTCTCCACTTGTCCCTCGCCCCAGCAGCGCGCCCCGAGCTGTCCCCTGTCTCTCGCCACCTTGGAGCGCAGCGCGGCAGGGAAAGCCCGCAAACCGCTGCTGGCACCGCGCACTTACTGCAGCGGAAAGGCTCCAGGGGTTCCTCTGGCGCGTCTGAGCCCACGCGGGGCGCCCTGCACTCTCGGTTGCCGGCGGTGGAGGAGGCGGTCGGAGAGCGCTTTTTTGCCTGTTCAGTGCCTCGCGGTATTTATCCCAAGCTGGACCTGCCTCAAGACCCACGTGACACGCCCCCCAAGCGACTTTCTGCTCAATATTTAATTAGCCGCCTCCTCTCCTTTCGCTTGCGTCTGATTGAGAGTTTCCGAGACGGTAACCCGTCGGTGCTCATAACATCTGGACCCAATTGGGTTCGAAATGACGCAATTTTAGGAAAATCATAGTCTCACCATCCAATCCGGAACAGTCTATCTTCTTCGGTATGCATATCCGACGCCCCTGCCCGCTCCTCCTTCAAAACGGGGTTCCATGACACCTGAGATTACTCATCAAAATTGAGCAAAGTGACTCATTCCTCGGACTTCGGCAACTTTTCTGTCCCTTTAAGACGTCAGGATAAATTGTACTTTTAAGGATGACCAAACAACTTCAGGTATTACGACATTGTCGTTGGAAATTAGTCTAAGAAAGGAACACCTCAACTGAGAGAAAAGCAGCATTGTTTTTTTCTGTTTCAATCTGCAGAGTATCTTAAGTGTTTCTGAAGTGTAGTAATATCTTTCTATGACCTGAACGTCCCTCTCCTAAATCAGCTAGAATATTGGCGTTTTCAGCATTACAAATGGATTTCCAGTCCCATAGTATTTCAGGTGATGGAGACAGATTTATTTTACATTTTGGAGAAAGGGGAATTTAAACTAGGTATTGCACGCAGAACTGTCTTGTTTACCAGTGCCATTCTAGGATAGCCTTTTTTCCAAGTGGGCTTAGTTTCCTCCCGTGCCAGAATGGAGGTTAGAAGGGGCCTTTTTTGCTCCTGTTCTACCCTTTCCCGGTACAGACTAGGAAACCAGCAAGATAGTCTACAGGATCGTTACGGGACTCTTCAGATCATTCATAGATTTCTCCTGTAGATGAAAGTAAGTGCAGTGAGAATGCTGAGGACAGTCAATACCATGAAACTATTAGACAAATAACATCAGTACAGAAATCACAGCTTTCATCAGCCCATGATTTGTCTTGTAGACATATTTCTTTCACCTCTGAATGAATTAAACGTTATATCTTGAGTAGTTTTCTCCCCTTTACTTAGCAAGCATTATATTTTTCAGTTAATTCTGATTTTTTATTATAGCGCGTAAAGGGAATGCATTTTTTGCAGCTAGATTAAATCAGTAATGTTTTTCCTCTATTTGTTGTTCTCTCTTAAGTAACCCTGCATTTTGAAATTCCCATTCATCCCTCCCATTTCTTTAGGCCTAGCCTCACAATGTGAGGCATTTTTTTAAAAACGTTTTATATAGAAAATTGTAAACATATTCAAAAGTAGAGAGAACCATCCAGTTGAAACAATTTGCAAGTTTCACCTACCACCAGCTGCTGTCTAGTTGATTGTGACTCCTGGTGACCCACGCCTCCCTAAACCTCTCCCCTACTCTGATTCATTTGGAGTAAATCTTATACATCACATCATTTCATCTGTAAATATCTCAGCATGTCTTTCTAAAAGGTAAGAATTTATTTTAAAAAAAAATACCATGCCACTAGCCTATCTAAAGGTAATTTAAAGTACTTCCTTGTTGCTGTTGTTGGGTGCCATACAGTCCATTTAGACTCGTAGCGATCCCATGTAACACAGTGTTTAAGTGCTTAGCTGCAAAAGGAAAGGTCAGCGGTTGGAACCTACCTAGTGGCTCAGTGGAAGAAAGACCTGGTGATCTCCTCCTGTAAAGATTACTGCCTAGAAAACCCTGTGGGGACAGTTCTACTCTGTCACAGTGGGTCTAGATGAATCGAAAATTGACTCAGCGGCACCTAACAACAACGATAATCTGTAGTTTTCCCCACTTCTCTCTCTTTTTCCCTTGCAGTTTATTGATAAAACAGGTCATTGTCCAGCAGAGTGTTTCACATTCTGGAGTTTGCTGATTGCCTCTCCGTGGTTTCTTCAAACTTATTCCTCTGCCCCTCTATTTCCTATAAATTGGTGGCTGAATTTAGAAAATTGATCATATTTAGTCTTTTTTTTAATAGGACTATTTTTCCTGTGTTGTGTACTTCTATCAGGAGGCACATAATGTCTGATTGTTTCTCCTTTGTAGATGTTAGCAGTCATTGATGATCATTTTCTGAATCCATAATTCATCGTTGTTGTGTACTGTCAAGTGGATTCCAACTCAGAGTGGCCCTAGAGGACAGAGTAGAACTGCCCCCTAGGGTGTCCAAGGCTATAAATCTTTATGGAAGCAGACTGCCACATCTGTCTCTGGAGGAGCAGCTGGTGGGTTCCAACTGCAGACCTTTTGGTTAGCAGCCAAGTGCTTAACCCCTTTGCCACCAGGTCTTCTCATTAGTACGTTAGTACTTGCAAAATAGTGCTATTCTACTTTATCATTCTTTCTTTCTTCATTCCTTCTTTATTTAGCTGGACTATTTCTTCCATATAAAGTCAAATTTGTGTTTCCCATCAACTATTTGGTTACTTCAAGGCATAGGGAAGATGGGATAAATGCTTGATTATTTTCTCTACTAGTTTTCAAGATAGTAAGTTGGTAAGTTAGTTAACCTTTAAAGATGAACTTTTTTTTAATTTTAGGATTATTTTGAACTCATGGATTTAAATATAGTTCAAGGATTTCAATCCATGGCAAGCATTTTTCTAATTGCTGCTCAAATTATCCCATTCTTGGCTAGCAAGTGACTTTTCAAATTGGCTGTTGAGACTTTGATATGTCCTCCATAGCTTTGATGACTTTCTTGTGTTTTGTTATTACAAGATGTTCCAGATTTAAGTGTTTTATTTCCTGCCCCAGACCTGGAATTTTCTATTAACAAGCCCTGGTTTCCTTTAAACAAGAAATGATCATTAGAGATCACAATCTAGGCCTTAGAGGTGCACAGTGTTACTGAGTTTCTTATTGTTTCAATTAATTGTTTTAGTGGATTGTTACAGTGTGCCGTGGAGTTGATTTCGACTCATAGCGACCTTATATGACAGAGTAAAACTGCCCCATAGGGTTTCCTAGGCTGTAATCTTTAGGGGAGCAGATCACCAGGTCATTTCTCCTGCAGAGCTGCTGATGGGTTCAAACTGTCAGACATTTTGGTTAGCAGCCAAGCTCTTAACCATCGTGCCACCAGGGCTCCTGCTTTCAGTGGATAGAGTTGGGAATATATATATGTGTGAGTGTGTGTGTGTGTGTGTGTGTGTGTGTGTGTGAGAGAGAGAGAGAGAGAGAATAAACATCATGAATTTATACTGACACTTTCTATTCAAATTGAGGATATTATAGAATCTTTACTTAACTTCATCTTTTCTTCCATACCAAAAATCCCAATTCCCAATAACATCAATTTACTCATTTGCTTTATCCCAGTTCACAATACCAATATGACCAACAACAATATGATCATTGGAAACAGATTAAGAGTTTTATTTTCAATTTTTTTTTAATCTTTAGGGTATATCACACTATGTATGCTCAGTCAAATTACAGTGTTTTAAAGTTACTTTAAAAGTTCTTCTCTGTATAGTTATGCTACAACTCTTATATAGGTATATTTATTTATTCATTTTGCTCTTGAGTTTTCAAGATTGCTCTTTACATTTAATTTAATTTTGAAATTTTGTAGAATTACAGTTCCAAACTCAAATATTCAAGACACAGTATATTTAAAGAACTGTAGTTTCCATCCCTGCCCCCGTCATTCCTTCTGATAACCATTTCTTTTTAGGTATTCTTTGGTTTATCCTTCCATTGTTATTGTTGTTCTTGCTGTTTTAATATAAGCAAATATGTATTCATATCCCTCTCCACTTTGTAAAGTTTCATATTTAAAATGGGGCATTTTAGATTAATTTTCTTTCTCAGTTGCTGATGTAGTCTATGAGGTAGTGTGAACTATTTAACAATTTCTTCCGTTTGCTCAATATGATCAGTTGTATAACTTTGTTCATATGCCATGTTAAAAATGTGCCACAGTAAGTAAAATAAAGGCTGTTTCATATAATTGAATAATAAGCATCAATGGGATAAAAATTTATCAAAGAACACATTTCCCATTTTTTCCATGTCATTCGTTAATTGGTAATTTAGTGCTCCCTGGTGGTGCACTGGTTAAACACTTGGCTGCTAATCAGATACTCCATGGGCGAAAGATGTGACAGACTTCTTTCATAAGGATTTACCGCCTTAGGAATCCTGTGGGGGCAGTTCTACTCTGTCCTATAGGGTCGCTATGAGTCAGAGTCGACTCGATGGTAATGGGTTTTTAGTAAGAATATGAACTTTCTGCCACAATTACTCCTTAAACAGTGCAGGGTTTGGGGTACTTATACTCTTTATTCCCTGTTTATTTTCGAGAATATCAGATTTATGATAGTGTGCATTTAATAAAATACATATGTTTTTAATGCATGCTAAATTCAGGAGGAAAAGAATGGTGAGTGAAGAAGTAGTTAAGAAACTTTTTTTAAAAATATGGTTTGGAAATTAAAACCTGCAGAAAAGTAAAAAGAAAATACCGTTGTCCATTTTCTCACAACCCAAAATAAACTACTGTATACTGTTTACAATTTTTACAAGGAAAAAAGTCACCTGATTGTTTTTATAAAATAAGACATACTCTTTATTTTAAAAATCAAACAATACAGAAAAGCACAGTAACAGATTTTTCAAAAACTACCTCAAACTCAGAAATTGCCACCTTTAACATTACATGAACATAATTGTATCTTTGTATGCATATTACACAGCAAAATAAAACAATAGATAAATAAAAGCTATGAAAATAACATAAGACTCTAGGAAGTATTTTTAATGAAAAGCAATGAATTATATTTTATTTAGCTATTAAGAAGAAAAACAAAACTAAAGTGAGACTGAGGAAAATATTGATCTTCAATTATTTGTTCACCACAAGATCTTTTTTCCATTAATGAATGGAAATGTTAAGAAACAAAGTTTAGGGATAAATGTTAGGAGGCTGGAATGCAATTAATTTTAAAATAGATATTTAGATGATATTTATTAATTTATTGGTTTGAAAAATGAGGATATTAGCATTCTTATACTTCTTCCTACCCCCCTTCCTCCACCTCACAGTTTTCGTGACTACTTTAACGCCGTTC